GGAGTGGGCGTGAACAGAAGAAGCCAAAATTCCTTTCAAGTCTAAAACCAAAGACTGCTGCAGCCCCCTCCGCTTGTCCACCTGGAGCTGTTCATGCTGCAAAAAGTATTTCCCGATTCAGTGAGGCACCCCCATTCGGGTCTCCATGTGCCCAAAGCCCAGATCCAGACCGATTCAGTAGCATATGATGGTACTAGTTGGATTACTAGAAGGAGCTGTCAGGATCCTGGGTGGAAACTTGGGAGGAGCTTGGGAGCCAAGAACTGAAGCCAAGGGTCAGAGCCGGTATCCTTGTCAAGCCAAGGGTCAGGGATGGAGTCAGGAATCGGGCTGAAGGTCAATACCAGGTATCGGAGTCCGTGTTGGCGTTCCAGGGGTTGATCAGGACTCAGAATCCAAGTTGGAGCTGAGGTCAATACCAAGAGTTCAGGAACAGAGAAGCAGGGCAGTCGTGGCAGCGAGCCAGGATCCACATGGTTAACTGGATGCTTCTTGGCACGCCCCATGGGCTTATATAGGATCAAGGAGCCAATCAGGGATCACCAGACAACTATCAGTCGGATCACTTAGGGCAGAACTTCCCGTGGCATGCCATTTCTGCAGATTGCAGGTCGCAGGGAGTGGCCAGGTTACAGCTGCCACCAGGTGGCCGTGTGAGGCTGTTGGTTGCCTGGTAGCCCTTCAGGCCCAGCTTCAAGTGCCACTGATCCTTACATTACCTCCCGCCCTCTATGGGTGCTTCCCGAGGTTGGGAGCTGGGATGCTGGCTCCCAGGATCACTCCTCGGGGGCCATAGCCTTCCCAATCAATTAGATACCTGAAAGAGCCATGTTTCATTTTAGAATCCAGTATTTTGTGGATCACGTGTTCATTATGACCCTGGACCTGCACTGGTGGGGAGGTGGTTGTGTTTGATGCACAAAGGTGTATGGCATTAAAAGAGACATACGAAACACTGGATGTCGGCTGCCTTGGTCTGGGTTCCTGGGTGATAGATGATGGTAAAATGAAAGCCTGTGAAGAATAGGGCCCATCAAAGCTGTCTTTGGCTGAGCACCTTTGCCCTATGCAGATACTCTTAGTTTTTATGATCTGTGTAAACCTGTATCAGACACCTTCAAGGCAGTGGTACCATTCGTCAAAGGCAGCCTTGATTGATGGAAGTTCCTTATTTAAAATCTAATGATTTTATTCTGTCAGAGTGAGTTTCTGGGAGTAATAGGCACAGGGGAGCAATTGCTGCTGGGGGCCCATATCTTTGTGAAAATGTTGACCCAATTGCTTCATTAGATATATCAGTCTCGAGGACAAAGGCCCATGTGTGGTTGGAATGGATCAGGTTTGGAGCACTGGTGAAGGCCATCTTCAGTTGATTGAACACCTGTTGAGTCTCTGGAGACCAGGTGAAGGAGCTGTGTTTGCAGAGAAGCACTGTCAATGGGGCTATTCAGTCTGAGAATCCAGGACTGAAGAAGTGCCTATAAAAATTAGCAAACCCAGGAAGCGTTGCGGTTCCTTGATGTTCTGGGGGACTGCCCAGGACTGAACAGCATTCACCTTTCCAGGATCCATTCGGAGGCCCTCAGAGGACAAGATGTAACCTAAGAACTCCATGGAGTGCTGATTGAAGGTGCACTTGGTGCTGTGCATATAGATCGTGTCAGCAGAATCGATCCAGGACTGACTGGACATGTTGAATATACTGCTCGTGGCTCTCCGACAAGATGAATAGATCATCAAGGTAGACTAAGACATAGTGATCTAGGATGTCACAAAATACCTTGTTCACAAAGTGCTGGAATGTTGCTGGAGCATTTGTAAAACCAAATGGCATTTGTAGCAGCCAGACCAGGTTCAAAAGGCTGTTTTCCACTCATCCCCTGCACAGATCCGCACCAGTTTGTAGGCTCCTCACAGGCTGAGCTTGGTAAACATCTGGGCTGATCATACACAGTCCTACAATTCCGGAATGAGTGGGAGAGGATACCGGTTTCTAATGGTTCACCTGGTTGAGGGCCCAGTAATCTGTGCACAATAAGCACTGGGGCCCCAGCAGGGGAGGTGAAGGGATGGATAATCCCCTGAGCTAGGTTCTCCTGGACATAGGATCACAGGGTGGCCATCTCCAGCTCTGATATGGCATAGATGTGGCCAAAAGGTATCTTGGCCCCAGGTTGCAGCTCAGTTGGACGATCCTGGTCACAGTGCGGTGGTAGGACATCAGTGTTCTTCTCAAAAACATCTGCATAGTCACGGCGCTTTGCAGGAAGAGCAGGAGTCAGCTTGGATGGTGGAACACAGCTGGGCCACATGCTGGGCCTGAGGGCACCTCTGGGGCGACCTGGATTTGGCCTGGAGGAGTGTATCTTGAAGCCAAGACTTGTCTGTTGGTGCACTCAGGCAAACTTGCTGACTGAATTCAGAGCAGAAACTGACTTTCTCTCACGCCAAAGGACATGCAGGTCATGAGTGGCCAGCCATAAGGTGCTGAGAATTATGGGGAAGTGGGGCGAGCGAATCATTCTGAACCATAGGATTTCTTCACCATTGTTTTATTCCGGACTCTTCTCCCACCCAGGAATCTCACTTTCTGTGAAATGGCCCTTTGCCCATGGGAAGCGTGGGACCGTCCCAATCTGGCCAGGTTTATACAAATTGAGTTTCCTCCTAAAGAAATACATTTTGAAGTTTTGCACCCGAGTTCGGAATCCAGCAGTTCCTGGAGCGAGCGCTTGCTTGGCGAGCGCTGCCTGTCGTACAGTGAGTTTGCTGCTACACTGGTGAGCTGCACAAATGGCAGGGTGGGCTCTAGTCCTAGCACTTGCCCCCACGCTGGTCTTGGATTCTACTTGTCCTGGGCCCTCCCCGTTAACCTGGGCTGCTTTCAACGGCAGTTCTTATCTGTTTACAAACTGATCGTCTGATGGCAAGTATCGAGGTCCCCAAGCTGTGTGACAGTGTCTGGCTGATGGGTCCGGATGTCGGCCAGTGGCTGAGAGAGGACACTGACCACTGACAGAGGGGAAGGGCCTTGCTAGGGTACCTGACCCACCAAAAGCGCCGCAGATGCCTGTACAGGAAAGAGGAACCCTGGTTGCTGATGGGCCCATTCTGTCTGCAGAGTGACAAGGGGAGGCCAGTGTGTGTTCCCCATGGGAGTATGCGCGGGGACCGTCAGCTATTCCTAGTGCCCAGAGACACGCAAGGCCCACTGGGTGGTAGGGACACCTTGTGGGACATCCTAACAATCCTGGATGCCCCACAAGGTGGCACTCATGCTCTTGTGGAATTTCCCTGAATGCTGGAGGGACGGGTCCCTGGCGTCCCAGGGTGATGCTCTGTAGTCAAAGCCTTGGGTGGATTGTCGTTCTGGGCTAGCACATTTCATGATGAGTCTTATTGTGGGGATTAGAAGACTGATCCCTACATGAGACACAGCATGCGCATTCGGAAGAGCTGTCCCGCTGAGCAGGGCCTGGGTGTGTCCTTTGTAAAGGCCAGAACGCAGGGTGCCCTGGGTCTCTGGCTAGCGGCTGACTGACCCTGAGATAAATGGATGCAAAGCTAGCGACTAAGAGAGTGTCTGCCATGAAGTGGCCAGGCTGCACTTGCCAGCTGGACTGTTCCTGAGCACCGTGATCCGAGGACGCGTTCGCATCCTCTCTGGGTAGCTGGATGTGACCACAGAGCCTGTGTGCCTGGGCCTTCTAGGGTGGGGAATGTAACATCCCCATACATCCAAATGGGGTCAAGCAGTGGCCCCAGAGCCTGTCTGGCAGGCCCCTCAGCAGCAGGAGTGGAACCTGCAGCACTGGCAGCCAGTGGCAGGGAGGTAGCTCACTTGCGCAGGGGACAGAGCTTTCTCAGGGGCCAGGCTGGGACTGGAACTCGCTTCCACCGGGACCGAGAACCTCCAGAAACCTCGCCCCGTCCTGCTCCAAGTTGAGGTGCACTGCTTCAGCCTGCAATCCCCAATTGAAACCCAGCACTGCACAGCAGTGGGAGGGAGCCCGGGGCCAGTCAGGTCATGAATGCCTCTCTGGAAGACACTCAAATACCAAGGTGATGGGCACAGTGTCAGTCCCTCTTGTGTGTGCGGTTTGCTGGGGCTTGACTTCTTGGAAAGAAGCCCCAGCACTCACGGACCCAGTGTGCATATCTGCAGGTCACCACAGGTGAGAGGAGAGGGAGGAGGCACTGGGGCCCTACCAGTGGGCTCCCCCGTCTCCAAGACCTAGTGCTTTGGCCGGGCTTTGAGTGGCAAAGGGGAGCTGCTCGGGTGTTGAGTGTGGGCCCCACCCCGGGGGGAATTAGGAACTTTGGCCTGTTCTGTCACTCCCCTCCCGCGGCTCTGGGCTCTGTGGTAAATCCATCCCTCTGTGCATTTGGATTTTCTCTGATCTGCCAATTCTCCAGCAAGATCCTACTGTGGGCCTGTCCCTGGTGATGGGAAGTCACCTGTGCACCATGACCATTGGGGGGGCAGGGGTTCTGCGGAAGGGAGCAGGCCCTGCTCACTTCCCCTTCAGGCCGGAGAGTGAGTGAGCACGTGGGCTGCCCTGGCCCTGCGTGCTCCCCAGAAGGAGACAGGCCCGGCAGTGTGTGACCATGGGCAGCACAGACACCAGAGCAACTGTGAGGAGCCTTTGCAGCCGCGGCCTGAGTCTGCCTTGTCTGCTGTCTGTGGGGTCGCGTTCCCTAGTGCAGGCTGGGTGTGACATGCCGACCTGTCAGCGTGGTGCTGCTCTGTCCCCGCTTCCCCTTTGCAAACATGGACACGAGGCACAGGGCACCGGAGCCTGAGGCCTGGTCCAGTTCCCCTGGTGCTGGTACCACTGGTGCACAGTCTCGCAGGGACTGGAAGGTGCGGCTCGTGGGGCACAGTCTCCCGCGGTTCCACTGCCCTCGTGCCGTCACTCTGAATGCCTCCTGCCCGGCTGGCCTGGCCTCTCCAGCGCACTGGGGCCGTGCTAACTACATGTGTGTTTCTTGCCTCCCAGCAAACTGACGCGGGAAAGCGGGACAGATTTCCCCATCCCAGCTATCCCAGCAGTGCCGGACTCTGAGACGGAGAAACTCATTCGGGAGAAGGACGAAGAGGTGAGTGCCGGGGCCGGGGCCTGTGTCTCCTGCTAGGGGCTGCACCAGAGCCACTGCCGCATGTGGGAGGCCTGGCTAGAACTGAGAGCTGCACTCTCTCCCACCCCCTGCATGCAGTTGTGCTGGGCTCTGGTCCCCTCGCTCTCCGTGGCAGCACAGGCAGCCTGCAGCAGGGCCTGACACACTCCCCGCTTTGCATATTTCCACTCCCCTCCCACTGGAGGAGCTAATAGAGTCCAGCTCCATCCACAGTGCAAAGCTGTCCCGTGCCCTTTGGCCTCCTGCAGCCATTACCACCTCCCTGGGTCTCCCTCGCGCAGAACTGGGCTTTGGGTTCTTTTCCCCCAGAGCAATTAGCTGCATCCTTTGAAGGTCGAGTTTGCTCTGTCCATGGTGCTAACTGGCCCATTTCCCTGCCCTCGCTGGCCCTGGCACACCCCGAAGGCTGGCGTCCTCTGCACATTCCAGGGATCTGCTCCCTTCTGCCAGCTCAGGACTGAAGATATGAGCTAAAGCCAGACCTGGTCTGGACCCCTTCCACCTCACCAGCCCCTCCTTCCTCGCTGCATTGCTCTAATTAACTCCTGCCGCTGGAGTTCCCAGGAGAAACCCCGTTCTCTGTATTCCCATGGCTTTGCCTAGAGAACGAGTCTTCTGTGTGTAACTCCCACTGGCTGGCCCGAGGGAGCACAGCGGTTGTGTCCCAGCTGGCACTGCCGTGGGGAAGCTCACAGCGCTGCAGTCCCAGTCTCTGAAGCAGAATGCTGAGTGCCCAGGCAAGGGGCTGCGGGGAGCTGGCCCTCACATGTGTTTCTCCCATTTCAGTTGCGGAGGATGCAGGAGATGCTGCAGAAGATCCAGAGGCAGATGAAGGACTCCCACTAGCCACCACATTCCCCTCCAGCTCCCACCCCACTCAAACCAGAAATGTTTACATCAAACCCCAGCCATCAAAGCCAGCTCTGCAACTCGGTACCAACAGCGCACCTAGCACCTTAAGCTGATGCGATACGCCTTATTATGGACCCTCGCTGCGCTTTCCTCAGCGGCCTACAGGAAATAAAGGCTGACCCGCACCAGAGCTTCTGCAGCCACCCTCCCCATGCCTCGGACTCAGCCTGCTTCCTTGGCAAGGCTCCCGCAAACCCAGCCTGGCCCGCCTGCGGCTGCCGGCAATGCTTCCCCATGGTCTGACTGAGTCAGGCCCAGCCACTGGGCTGCTTCCCTCGCGTTGAACGTGTGCAGCCGCCTGTCTGTGTGCAGAGCCCCCCTCTCCACACCGGGCCGGGTTCACACATTTTCCCCTCAAGGCTCCTGCACAGTTGGGCCCCAGACGTGGCTGATTGGTGCAGTGCAGTGGCCATGGCTGTGTGCCCAGACTGCTCCCCAGCAGTGTGAGGAGCCAGTGAAATCCGCATTTTGCAGCAGTTCCGGAGCAAAACTTGCAGTCCCCAGGGCAGCCTGTGGCCTGGCAGCTCATAGAATATCGGGGTTGGAAGGGACCTCAGGAGGTATCTAGTCCCACCCCCTGCTCAAAGCAGGACCAATCCCCAGTCAGATTTTTGCCCCAGATCCCTAAATGGCCCCCTCAAGGAGAGAGCTCACAACCCTGGGGTTAGTAGGCCAATGCTCAAAGCACTGAGCTATCCCTCTGCAGGGTGCTCTGCTCTGCTCCCAACAAAGCCTGAGCTGCTGCCCCAGAGCCCTGCCCAGGCAGAGTGGATGTACAGGATGTCGACACAGCAAGCGAAGGGGTAGCAGAGGTTGCATGCCCCTGTTAGCGTGAGTAATGATGGCAGCACAGGCTTCGACATGGGCTAGCCATCCAAGTAAAGCCCTCCGAGGACGATGGGTCCATACTCCAGTTAGCTTCACTTCTCGTTACCCGCCCTCGCTAGATTAAAACTAGTGTGGGTCTGCGTCCCCAAGCCACAGTCATACACAGCTGGATGGGTGCCTGTAGCCTCTGTGAGCCCCCTCCCCCAGCCACCAGCTGAGAGCCACCCTCAGGGACCTACCCAGGTCTTGGGACGGGTGGGCCACATTCTGTTCTCTCCTACATGTGCTACGCTAGTGAGGCCAGTGGGCTCCACGCGTGGCACTCAGAGAAGAGTGTGGCCCAGTGGCCCCTGTGGGAGAGGAGCAGAGACGATAGAAACAGTCCCAGTGCCACAGAACCCGTGTCCCATAGTGGTAAATATGCTCAGGAACTCACCTTCCTCAAGGGACTGAATGTCAGGATCCTCCAGTGCCCCCCATCTGCTCTGCTAATCCGGGTGTGGCCAGGCAGCATCTCCCACACCAGCCACTCCCCCAGCAGGGCAGTGAGAAACACACGCTGTGTGTGCGAGCACAGGGCTGGTGCTGCACTGCTCACACATGCACACACACACTGCAGAGCCCTGGCCTGGCACAGGTGCCTACGCACACAGAGCAGGCACCAGGTCCCTTCCTGACATGTGCACACAGACACTGCAGGGCCCCTCCTCTCCTGTGAGCTGGGTGATGGGGGCAGGAAGGCAGCATTTCATTGTGAGTTGTACATGGCAGTGCACAAGGAGATCCCTGACGCTAGGCCCTCCCAGAAATCCCCTGACCGGGCAAGTTGCCGTTCTCTGCCCTGTTTCAGCTAGTGCCCTTGCCTCGTTGGGAGAGGCTCGAAGAGCCTCCATTGGCCACGCTGGAGGTCAAGGCCCCATTTCCAGTCTCCCTTCCCCCAGGGTGCTGCACACCAGTCCAGGGACACCGCAGCTGACTGCTCCCTGTAACCCCCCTTGCTGATCGCGGACTCCACCTTGCAAGGAGCGGGACTGTAGCAAACTGGTGGGTGAGGCCACAGACTCACAATGTCCAGAGTGGATTTCTCAGCATCACTGCAAAGAACAGGAACCAAGAAGACCTGGATGAGCTCACCCTCCCAGCCAGCTCTGGCAACAAGGTGGGGCCTGGAGACTGGCCAAACCATTTCAAGGACAGAAGCAGCTTTCATCTATCCACACCCAGACCTCCACTCTCAGTGTCTTCTGCATTGTCTCGCAAAGTCTCTTACTAAATATCACTCACAAACACAATGGAAAACCCCTTTGCCTCAATCCAGATTAAAGACCTGCCTCAATGGTCCTCATGGAGCTTCTACTCCCTACAACTGACTTCTCGAGATGTGCCCGGAGAGCATTCCTCATTCAGACGATTGGTATTTCTATCCTACTGGGACACCACAGATGGAGAAACCAGTTTGAATAAAATAGACTGACTTGAACCTTGCCCAAAACTTGAACCAAACCTTTCGAGGGCTTTCCACACTTGCTTGGCGGCCTGCATTCTGCCCCGAAACAGAGGTGTTGAAGAATGGAGAGGAGCGTTGTCCTGACAGCATCTCCAGCCCAGCAAAGCAAAGAAGACCAGAAATCTCCTGAGGAAGCTGGTTCTTGTGAGTCATCCAGCCTAACTTTGCAGACTCACTAGGTTCAAGGTAGTTTAGATAAATTCTGAGACGCTTCCGCCCTTTGGGGTCTGTCACTTTGGGGCACAGTCCAGGTCCTTGAGGTGTTCCCATCACTTTCTCTGCATCCTGCCTCTGTCAGATGATGACCAATGCCATCTGGAGAAAGATGGGTGATTCTTGTGGGTGTCCCTGTGTCACGTCAATCTCTATGCGCAGGCCCTGCACCAGCTGCTGTCTCTGCTTCAGCATCCCTTTAGCAAAGAGTTCAGGGTCTTCCCTTGGAAGAGACCTCAGGAGGTAATCTAGTCCAATCCCCTGCTCAGAGCAGGACCAACCCCATTAAATCATCCCAGCCAGGGCTTTGTCAAGCCGGGCCTTAAAAACCTCTAAGGATGGAGATTCCACCACCTCCCTAGGGAACCCATTCCAATGCTTCACCACCTTCCTAGTGAAATCGTTTTTCCTAATATCCAACCTAGACCTCCCCCACTGCAACTTGAGACCATTGCTCCTTATTCTGTCATCTGCCACCACTGAGAACAGCCGAGCTCCATCCTCTTTGGAACCCCCCTTCAGGTAGTTGAAGGCTGCTATCAAATCCCCACTCATTCTTCTGCAGACTAAACAAGCCCAGTTCCTTCAGCCTCCCCTCATAAGTCATGTGGCCCAGCCCCCTGATCATTTTCGTTGCTCTCCGCTGGACTCTCTCCAATTTGTCCACATCCCTTCTGTAGTGGGGGGCCCAAAACTGGACGCAATTCTCCAGGTGTGGTCTCACCAGCGCCGAACACAGGGGAATTCTTCAGCTTCTTGTGTCTGGTGCTCAGGTACTATGGCAATCAGCTCCTTTGAAACGCTAGTGTATTAATTAGCTCCATCAAAAATGTCCATTGAAACAAACGTTCAGTGACCAGTGGGGGAGGCTTTCCTGAACTTCTTCTCAAGCGCTGTGTGATTTCTGAGCAGCTTGGCTCAGACCGGCGATCCCTTCCCACTAGCCATTTTCAGCAACAAAGTTCCACCCGAGTGAGCATCAGTCCTAAGCAGCTATCCTGTACAACTGACAGTAGCAATTCCCACGCTACCCACAGTATCATTACCCCAGTGAGAGTGCTCTGCCAGAGCAACCCCAGCTAGAGGCAGTCCTGGGTTTGAACAATCAGACTCCAGGTGGCAAAAGAGTCCCTTTCTGGTTTTGTAGCTCACAGGTTGAGCCCACTGAGGTCATTGCATCTGCCCCAGCACAGCTGACCTCACTTAGCTTCTCCCTCTCAGCGGAGGAGCCATTGAGGAACATAGAAAATGCGGATGCACCAACCAGAGGCTGTGCAGTGCAAGCCCATTCCTTCCCCATATAGACCAGCTGAGAGCTCTGAATAACACTCTGCGAGTCCGGCCGCTCTAGAAGTCATCTCCATGCTGTCTCCTACAAGGGACGTTTGCATGAAAGCAGGCTCATTGGTGTTTATTCCCCAGAAGTAGTGAGAACCCTGTGTGTGACATCATGATTATCTCCATAGCAACCACTGTGATGTCACATACAGAAGAATCGGGGGAACAAGAAGCAGCCCATGGATGCCTAAGCCCCAGTGGTCCTGTTTGTATGTAAAGGTCCTAATAAGCAAGGGCAAGAACCTTCTCCCCAATGTGACGGCTACATGTCTGCTTCTTAGTAGGTTGCCAGACCGAGCTGAGGTTCTTTGAAGGCATCATTCATGGGAAGGGGCAGTTTCGTAGGCCTAACTGGGCTTCATTTCCCTTAGTGCCACCATTAGGAAATGGCTGAGTTCTGCTGGGAAGTTCGAATAGGTGGCCTGCTTTCCTCCAACAGCCATGTCCCTGCTCCCGGTCTCGGTGCCACTGAAGCTCTCAGCCTGCATGCTAGACTTCCTGCTCCTGTGCAGGGCAGGATGCAACAGAGAAGCTTCCTGCCACTGGCGTGTGTATTTGTGCAGATAAGCTCACCACCCACCCAGATCCCATCCCTCCCATGCCAGATGGTCAGAAGCCGAGCTCAGGTCTGACTGCTGGGCTACCCCCTTCTCTTCTGCCTTTTGCACAGTTTGCTTTTCACTCAGTGACATGTATTTGTCTCCAAATACTGGCTGCTTTTGCACATTCTAGTTCAACACCATTTTCCATCGCAGGCTACATCAAAGCTGTGGGCACTTGCCAGTCAGCCTCCTGGCCACAGCATTTCTGAGACGCGAATGACACACTGTCTCTCCAGGTGTGCTGGACAGAGTTGCAATAGGAGGAAAGGAAGCTGTTCCTTTCCCCTGTAACCTCAGCTCAAACTGTCTCCCTGCCGCCCTTCGCTGTAGTCAGTATAGGTCAAAGCAGCTTTTTCTAGGACGTCTCCTGTGCTGGGCGAGAGGTCTGTAGGTCATGCCACACTCTGAGGGGACAGGTCTGGCTAGTCTGATAGAAGCAGGGCATTGTGGGAAAACTGTACCACGTCATGAGTGATTTGCATTCCTGAGTAGGCCAAAAAGCCAGAGGGTCTCTT